AGGAAAACATGTGTGAGTTGCAATTAGAAGGAATCTTGGTCTAAATGAGGTAAGGTGATAGCATGAAAAAGGCCTCTTCTGCAAGCCCTTAAAAACAAAAATAAGGGAAAGGAGAAAATGAGAACTGGACATAGTTGGCTTTGAGAAGTATGCGGAGAAAAAACAGTAAAACATTTTTGTATCAACAAAATTATTTAATATTTTATATAAAATAATGTGCCACCATTTTTCTGTTGTGTACTGGTAGTCTGGTTCCATTTTGGGTACACTCGAGACAACGCCACAAAACAAAAAGCTGTAACTATTGCATCTCTAGGGAACTAGGCTGCCACTGATGATACATCCCCAGACACTGCATAGTTCTCTAGAGATATTCATGGCTTTTTGTTAGTCATATAATGGGTTCTGGCAGTCCATTCATTTGGAAGTACAGGTTGTGACCCAGACATTTTCAGCTCAAGGATTCCTGTACATGTGATACAGGGCATCTATCTATCTATCTTTATACTTTGCTTTAATTCCTGCATTTTATCCAAATCTGGATTACATAGGTCCATATTTATTCACCAGGTCATACTGTTAGGCTGAAAGATTCTGCTGTTTACTTCCCCATGGCACTGGTACACTCCTCTTTTCACCTCTGAGATGTTGGAAGGTATATTTCCAGACACGTTTGTATACATATCCCCAAGGAGGATGTATCTAGTTTGATACTCGTTTGTTGCCTAGCTCAGGATACCTGGAGCAGTGTAAAATTCTAGAGCCTGGTTGTACATGTTCCATTGGTTACATAGTCAGAATAGGTGGGATGAACTGGCCCTTAATTTGAATGAATACTGCAAGAAGATCCAGTTTAGAAATCCCATTTGTTGCAATGCTATAATTAAAACTGCTTCATTTTCACCAACTTTTCATATCCTTTATTAGCTGAAAGCAAACAGATCCATTTCAAAATAGGTGATTCTATAGTTATATCACAAAGAAAAGAGCCTGAATGCTACAGAGCATTGTCATATTTAAATTAATAATGGAATGATTAAGCAGTACTAGAACGTAATTTTTAAAACAGCTTTATTATGGGAAGGAATCTCTTCCAAAAAAAAGGGAAGTATTTGCTGAAAACCTCACAAAGGACCCGAAAGTAGAAAACATGCTAGATTTTCATTTTCCCAAATATACCCGTCAACTCACATTTAACTTTGAAGTTCTTTTTCATACATATACTATCATACTTTCTAAGCTACAGGATGCTGTGTATTTTTGCTTTTATTAAACATTCCTTGGCTGCAATCATCCACAATTTGTGCATGATTTGTAGTGCTCACATGGTACAACTATTCAAAATGGATAGAAGAGCATGAGAACTGTTATCAAAACAAAACAAACAAACAAACAAAAACCCAAGCTCAATTTTTTATAGATTTCCACAATGGTGTAAGCCAGTGGAGTCCCACTGAATGAAGTATTCTGAAGTAACTGTGATCCAATCTACATTTACTTAAAACTACGTTTAGTTAAGCTCCAGTGAGTTTAATCCTTTGAGCGCTTAGGACTTAAATTTAGGGTGCAATCCTATACCTATTTAGAAGGAAAAACTCCTACATTTCCCAGCATTCCCCAACCAGATGGAAATGGAACTTTGGAGCTTTTTCCTGCCTAAATAGGAAAGTGGCATAAGTGGTCTGAAGACTTCAGAACATCAAATATACAAGTCGGGTGAGTGTCCATTTCAATCAGGTTATTTAAGATGAAGTGCACAGAAATGAAAAGCATGTCACTGTGGAACAGAGGCATCTTATTTGCATATAGTAAGCCACTAGCTACTCTGCAGCATACAAAATAAATCACACGATTGCAAAAGACAGGGACAGATTTCACAAAAAAATGCACAAATATTGTGCCTGTAGTGAGGCTTGCACATCTCAGCGTAAGATACATGGAGATTGTGGTTTATCATCACTTTTGTGGCACAATGCAGGGATAACCACTCTCATACTTAGGCAGCAATTCTATTGATTCTAGTTGGAGTGTATCAGGGAAAGTAAAACCATTTTAGTGTGCATATGGACATGATGGAGTCCAAATTTTTTTGTCTGCTCAAATAACAAGCACGAGAGCAATTCATTAGGACAGCAAGCGCAATGAAATGGAACCAGAGGTGCTCTGTGTAAATGATCAGTTAATTACGTATATTTCTGTAAACCAAGCATGGCACACCTCTTAAATTCAAGCAATTGGCTAAGTCAGTTTTCCTTATGATACTTAGTTCTTCCGTACTACATCTGTTCAGATTCTAGGCAGAGTAGTAAAACCTCCACTTCAGTGGAAAAGCTCTTACCAAAATGAATCGTCAGTTCATACATTTAACATTTGGTGAGACCAGTTCTGTTTTTAAATGAAATCTAAATAAAGAATTTTCTATGAGTTACCAACAATTTTGATTTTCCCTGGAGGGAACACAAAAAGACAGATTTTAACAGATTATACATACAATCCAAACTATATCACTGATTAAGGTGTTTTGAAATTTCTGCTGAGAATCTTGTCTTTGCAGTATTAAAATGGCTTATCCCTATCACTCTCATAGGGAAACAGCAGTCACGGAGGACTGCGTTAGAACAGGGAGGAGCACTTGGTGTAAACTCCATCCTAGACTATTAGCACTGCATTGTCCATTTGGTGGTACGTGTAAGACATTTTGGCCAAGTAAAGCTAATATACAGGGAAGTTGCTCCTGAGTACATTACCACAGGTATGAAAATGAGAAATGTTTAGACCTTGCATTTTATTTTAACAATGAATTTGCTAGAACCAAGCAGTAAGGCTAGCGATACCAAAGCTGGTGCTATTTCAGGAAATGGAGGGGTGTTTTCGAGGCAACTGTTCAGTAATCAACCATAATGCTACAACAGTTAAGGAGTGAGACGCTTGTAGCTCATCACCTTCTGGGGGGAATCTTGATTTTGCTACGTCTGGAGAAAAATGGGAGTTGCGGTATTGCAATATCTGAGCTTTTGACCAATGTGTAGTTGCTGTGGTTTCAACAGTGTGCTCACCACCTTTATTGTGACCTCAGATGTTGTGATTACCAGCTCTTTCCCTGGAGGACATCACCTTCCAAATTTCCAGTGGAAGTGAGGAAGGATTTAATTCCCTTCGCAGTTTTGCAAAGCTGCTCTCAGCGGCTTTGCAGCACACAGGGAGACTGGTTGGCCACAGCTACAAGAGACGCTCTTGCAACGCTGCCTTAGAAGGATGGGCCTTTCTTCCTGCTTTAGCTGAAGTCCAGGTTAAGAAGTAGCGATCTCTGTTCAGCGTGCTCTTACCCCAACAGGGAGAAATTAGCAGAGAGCTTTAGCTTTCCCAGGTATAGATCCCACCTTGTGAAAGAGACAGAGGAGCAATGCAGCATATGGGGCAAAACAGAGCATTCTTCCTACTGCAGACTGAAACGTTTAACAAACGGGAGTATAAGGAGGAGACTACTATTCCCTTGTCTATGGAGCTTCCTCAACTGAAAAGCTGCCATTTCCCCTTAGAAAACACCAAGTTGAGTCCTCTGTGAGTTGAAATACATAGGGATTAATTCCCAATATTTTTCCCTCCCAAGCAGCAAATGATAGGGCATTAGAGTGAAATCCTAATTAGATAATGCAGTCTTCATATAGTTTTACAAGTGCAACTGTTCCTTGCTTTTGCTTTGTTAAATCAAACATTTGATTTCACCTTTTTAATACCTTTTCCCAATGTATAGCTCCAATGTTTAAATTTCTGTCTTACTGATACCTACTAAAATTTGGCCTGGACTTCTAGAAGTCATACTATAAAAAGATGCCATGCTGACCCATTCCTTATAATAAGCCTTTAATTACGTGAGGGATACATGTCGCATTAATCTTATATAGATGCCATTGCATGGCATTTAGAGAGGGAAAAGCCATGCCATAAAGACAACTGAAAGCAATAGACCGTATACAAATCTTTAACGTTGCCGCTGGTGTTAATCTTAACACGTTACTTATATTACTCTAGAAACCAGCTTTGTCATACTTAATATTGCTTTGTTTTCAGCCAGCTTGGTTTTCATTGTGAAGAGGAGGTGAACATTAAGTGTGAAGTGGCACATGGACGCAATTTACACATACTGGCTGCAACATGTCTCTTCCTTTACCAGTTTAAGCAATCAACAGACTCCAGCTTAACCTGGAATATATCAACTTGGGCTGCAGACAGGTGTGCTTGAATGCTTCTCTGTGTTGAAAAAGAAAATCTTTGCCTGTATGCAATAAAATGGCTAGGCTGAATAATTTCTTCCCTGACAAATTATTTTCAACGTACGACTGTGTTTTATTATTACTAAACATACAGTCTCTAAGCTACAGCAGAAAAAGCTGTAGCATTCTATCCCGTTGATTGTATGAACTGGCCTTAAAACTCCTCCTCAGCCTTATGAAAGGCAACTCATTTGGACGCTTTGCTACAGCAAAGATGAGATCAGTAACATTGCTAAGGCTATTCTGTGCATTGCCGAAAGAAGGGCCTCAGTTCCAAGCTCAATTGCTTGTTGCCCAACATACCATGTTCATATGATGAAGTATTTGGTAAGTGCCCTTCTTTCTAACTGCACCTTAATTATATTAAATACTGTCTCAATCTGCTACATCTATTCTCTTGTATAAAAAGTGACCAAAAAAAGAAGAAAAAAAGAAAGGAAGGAAAAATAGCTTTCTTTTTAAAAAGTCAGGTTCAAAATACATTGTATAAAAACCAAATCCACAATTCTAAGCCTGATATACAAATGTATATTGGTCCTATGAAAATAATTGCCCCAATCATTTAATAGAAACAATACAAAAATGGTACAAGGTTGCATTCAAATACATACAACTAAAAATAAATCCCTTTTAGGCAGTCTTGAAATGCCTTGGTGATAGAAATAAAGATTGGTGGACGTGCCAGCTCGTAAAATGCTACTAGGGAGTCTTATCATGGTCCCTTATCATGGTACAATCCAGCTCAAGGGTTCAGCGGTGAGCGCCATATTTTGAAGACCAGTCAATTCGTCCATGGACTGGTTGAACAGGAGGTGGATGTGGCAGTGGCCCCGGTGTGCTTTTCAGAGGTATATTAAATGATGGCATCCCAATATGGGGTCTCACAGACTTCAAACAAGTGTATTCTACAAATAAATAAGCAAAAGGTATAAAAGGAGAGAAATGCGGTTGGATGTAGAGGTAGAACTGGTGACTTTGAAGGAGGATCTTTCTAGAATCACTCCTTAATGACAACTCCCCAGGTTGGCATCAGCATTTCCTATCCTGGTGGTATGAACAAGATGGGACTGGGTTTCTCTAGCAGGTGGCAGGATATTTAGAACTGCAGGGTTCCCCAAATTAATTGCCTTTAGCTTGAGGGTGCCCTCTTTTAACCCCGAGGACCACATCTCGGAGATTATACTGGTAGCAGAGGGGCCACAGATGCGGTTCGTACACACACATGAACGAAGTCCGTTCTTACACGTTTGGAAATTTCCTCAGCCAGCGCACGAAGCACACTCTGGCTCCAGGATGCCTCCCCAGAACCAGGGCCCAGCACACCACCTTTCCAGCATGCAGCATTCCAAGCATGTTTCTGCAGAGGTGAGCAGCACCCACCACAGCTGGAGCCCAGTGTCACCGGCTGTGCACCCTGTGCTAGATTTCAGTGCACTGGCATCACTGCTGCACTCCACGGCACCGTGTTTGGAAGCACACAGAACTTACGAGAAGAGAGGTCTGTAGCGGATGGATCAATGAGTGGCGCTAACTGAATTCTCTGGCCAGCAGAGCCAACTTCCTTTTTCAGAAATGAAGGGACGTAAGCCCCCACTAACCCATTCGATCCTGTGTGGCCTGAAAGACAGTGGAAAAAGAAACACAGTTGAGCTTGGTGCAGCCGATCAAGCAAACATTCACAAAGCGCCAGTTACTGGAGGAGCTGCTTGTTCAAGGGAACATCAGTGAACGCTCTGCCTTGTTATGCTAGCACCTGATGTTCTGACTCAGCATTGATTCAAAATCAGTATTTAGACAATGAGTTACAGAGCCTGCTATAATGGTATAGATTCTACTAATTCTGACAAGCACACCAAGGGTACCTTCTATTTTGTTTTCCAATAGCTCAGCTTCATGGAAACAGCTCGAGCTGATGAGTCTCTGATGCTGCACTTGCCACCTCAAATGTCGTAAGAGGGGTTGCTCACTGGGAAGTGCTCCCCAAGCAGCAAAATTCCACCCCAGGTGAAAAACTCTCTTCCTTCGGGCGTACAAGGAAGCCTCCCACACGAAGGATAAGATTGTGGAGTCATGTGCAGGGCTTGCACCATGTCAGCATGGTGAACTTTTGAACTGACCCTTAAAAGTCTTTGAAAAGCCTAGTCTCTTATGTACATGAATTCAGATGCACAGCTGAGTGATCTGATTCTAAACCAAGTCTGGTCAAGCCACAGATGTATTTTGGAGCATAGCCAGAAGGCTCCTTCGTAAGTGCTTAGTTCAGGAGAATTGCAGGGAGAGGACGCCTCCATGGACTGCGCAAGGAACAAACAACACATTGCTCTCTGTCTCCCTAAATGTGTGCTGGGTCATAACTTTTGTCTGTGATATGCAATCTCTCGCAGAAGTCAATGACATCAATATAGCATACCACAATTAGTCAATCTACTGCTGAAAGTATAAATTAAAATATCAATAGCAAAAGTATTATGAACTTTTAATCAGTTTGATGGCTCTTTGCAAATTAATAAGGTGGTTTGCAAGTATTCTCATTAATATGCTTCCAGGATCATTAGGTCATAAAAGTAGCACCAAAGATGCCGTTATTTCTTTAAGAAAATCCAGTCAAGGACAGGACTGGTACGTCTGCATATTTGGCTAAGATTTGTTGCTTTGTTCTTCCAACAGCAGAGAGAGCAAATCACATTTGGGAAGATCCAACTGTCCCCACTGTGCCAGTGCAACCGGCAGTCATGTACGAAGATTTTTCTCACCACCCCATTTGTGTGAGAGTCCTTCAATAGCAGTTCTTACTGGAGTTTAGTCTGGTGATCCCTCCTGCCACTGCTGATGTCTTTCGAGGCAAGTTAGAACTTGGCCATGGATCAGATGGGATGGAATCTTTGCTTGAACTGGAAACTAAATTATTTCTTGTGCTTATTCCTAGGGAAGAAGTAAATGGCTGTTAAATGCTGCAGGGTAAAATTTATCCGGTATCTTGCTCTCCTCCCCAATTTCTGGGCTGCAGTAGCTCTAACCCATTAGTATAATTGCTTGCAAACATCAGGGTCTGATTGAGCAAGGGGGGGCACTGGAGTGTTTTCCCTGGGGAGTGGCAGGGCATTTAGGACAGCCAACCTGTAGAACTGTAAAGGCAGGACAGAAGCAGGTGTACTGGAACACTGAAGGGAGAGAGAGGTGAACTGCTGAAAAAGTCAGCCGTATCACTCTTGCCTTGTCATTTGCAATGGCTGGATGCCACAAGGATCCAGCTGGGTTGGACATTGTGAGTAGTGCAAACTGATCCTCAATAATTTGCAGCCTTTGGGGAGTGGAAAAGGACTGTCTAGTTTTTTGTTAGGTGCTTGTTGCATGATAAGGGCCTGGCAGTGTCCCGCCCTCCTTGCAGGAACACACTGGCTGCGAGTGCATAGGGGTGCCTTGTGCCCAGCTCCCCAATCTCAAAGGTGTAGATATCCCTCATGATTAGGATGTAATTACAGAAAAGTGAACGGTGTTAAATCATGGCTATTGCCCTTGTAGTATATAATCTGAACCAATTTTTTAGTCTCTTTCTAGCGAGAAACTAAAAATGGAAAAGATCCAGTATTCAGTACTCAGTAGTGATACACAATGGATTTAGATATGGAAACTTAGGGTCAAATTCATGCTGGGCTGTAAAACTCTGTGTAGATCCTTGAGTAATTCACTTCTCTGCAGTACAGGCTACTTCACCAGGGTGATGCGAAAGTAAAACGGTAAAATAAAATGTACTCTGAGTTCCCTGAAGTTAAGATGGTATAAACATATAACAACATTGTAAGAGTTTGATCCAACTAAGTAATACCAAAAAAAAAAAAAAAAAAGCCCCATGCATTCTGTATTGCTACATCTGCAGTTTGCAAAAAATGCATTTTATAATGAGCACATGACATTTGACACAGCAAGGCCAAGACCCTGGGCTGGCATAGAGGCAGATGACTTAAAGAGAAGTGCCTTAAATCAAGAAGTAGCTCAAACCATCAGGCTCTACATTACCCATCCTTACCAAATCTAATTGCCATATTCTATGAAATGTCATAGTAAAGATTTTGGGGTTTTTTTACTAACCAGGTAAATACCTAGAATGTTTCAAGTAATGTTGCTTGGCTGCAGAAATTTGTAATGTTGGGGTGTCCTGCCGAAGGTAGGATGGTGCACTGTTCCCAGTCCCTAAGCAGGCTGAAGGCTTCAGGTTCAAAATACTCTCAAATCTGTAACCAAAACCAAACAGCCAACTTTACACACTGGATGACACACACGCTTCAATTGTCATGAACATGTGAGCACACGGTCTTCCAGGAAAAGAAACAAAATTTGTAGGGAATCTTCTCAAGGAAACAGCAGTCCAGTTCAGGCCCTATGCAAATGGAGACTTGCCTGATCTGCTTTAATGCTCACAACTTAAATCAGATGGAAGAGGGCAAGGAAATCGTACATGTGGGATTACGGGGCTGAATTCTATAAGGCTGCAATCCAATACGCACTTAGAAAAAGGTTCAGTGAAGAAAGTGGGGCTGATTTCTAATAGAATTGGGCTATACTTACATGAAAGTAATCCCCACTAAACTAAGTGGGACTAGCACTGAAATAAACATTCCATCATTATTATTATTATTATTATTATTATTATTATTATTATTATTATTATTTCATTATTATGTTGCTATACTGTCCAATTATTAGAGTTCTCTGAGCAGTTTACAAGAATGAAAACTATAAAATACAACATGATAAAATGCTAGTTTAAAACTACAGTATAAAATGAAAATAACAACCAAAAAGAAACCTAGTAAAAATGAAAATATTTAAAATAAAGTAGCAGACTTAAACAGAAGCTGAAGACTACAGTGGCTGTAAAATTAAGAAAGGCTCCATCTGGTACCAAAAAGAGGAAAATGTAGGCAGCAGGCAAGCTTAGGGTCAACCTGTATGATCCCAATCCTGTACATGCATTCTTTTAGACTAATTGGACTTGAGAGGGATCACTGCTGAAGATACTAAGGGTATATTCACACAGGAGAGTACATTGCTTCTTCTTCCGTGAAGCAATGTAAAACCAAGGAGAGGTTGTTTTCAAATGGCAAATTGCTGCCAAGATGTTATACGTTCATATGCTGGTAAAAACTGTTGTAAGTGTCACATATGAAAACATCAGTGGTTAAGAATCCTATTTATCCTTGGCTAAAACTTAAAATCAGTGCAAAGCACAGAGCGATCTCAAACACGTTCATTCAGGTAAAAAAACTTGCTGTGTGTAATTAACTAATTAATTACTTAATTAGTGTAGGTAGGACAGCAACTTTTAACTGAATATATTTATCCTTCTATCCTATTCATACACACAAAGGAGGTGTAAGGTGAAAACATGCATACACCCAGGCGGGACACACACGAGACTGAGGAAGGGAGGTGGGAAGAACAACAACTTGCCTACAAATAACGTCGTCATTCTGTTCTTTGCTTTTAAAATCAGTTCTGGTGAGGGAAGAGTCACTGTCACCAATTTCCAAGTCCTCCCAATCCTCAGAACTTCTTAGTGCGCCAGCGGTGTGTCCCCACCTACGACGGGTCTTTGGCTTGAGTTCACCATTTGTTTTCTCTGATCCAGTGGCTGCTTTCTGTCATTTCAGGAGGGGAAAATAAGAAACAGAGCAAAAACATACGAAGTTCAGAATCGCAGTAAGAACAGAAAGTTTGAAAGAGTTTCTATCAGGCAGGGAATGGGGCCTTTAGTAGCAGGTGTATCACTCTACTGCTGTTATAATCTGTCCCACTGGGCATCTCTTATGTCTGGGAGAGAAACAAGGTTTAGATATCCATTGCTCTAATTTTTTCTACTCTTCTACCCAAGTTACTCCCAGAATCAAAGCCATAATGATAAGAAAACGATTGCAGGTAAACAACTACATACAAAATCCTTTCCACAGCAGACATTTTAATAAAAAGTTTAATATTGTTTTATGCTTTGTCTATTTGTTTTCCTTGTGAGCCGCTCCGAGGCTTCAGCAATGGGTGCGGCGTAGAAATGTTATAAATAAATAAATAAATAATTTTGATACAGAAGAGAATGTCCAAGCAACTGAGAAATCCTTCTGCAATTAATGGCATTATTAATAATTCAAAATGGCAACAATATGAAAAGGTATTAATACTGAGGTAAATGTTGAAAGAAACAGCACAAAAGCCAGAATTATAAAGGATGACAAAATTAGCTGGAAAACAATGCTGGGAGTAAAAATCAAGCATAATGAAAGCTAACTTTTTGTAAATAAAATCCAATAGTATATGTGGATTTGGTGCAAGACATGCTCATGTACGCTCTTCTTAAGGGACAGAGCGAACCCTTAGTATGCACAGGGAATCCAGGAACCAAACTGAACCAAAAGCAATTCTTCTATCTCCATTTAATATGAAGTGCCTAACCCAAACTGCTATTCCTATTGAAAATAGGAACAGAGAGAACAACAACATTTTTAGAAGGCACAGATCTCAAGGACCAGCTTTGCCCAACATGACAATTGGACATAGGTTGTCATGTCATGCAAACCTGGACTGATCCCAGTAGGATGACTTGCTTCAGGGTTCTTTTAGCGGTCATTGTGACCACAATGTGTTGTTGTGTCTTCTGACCCCATTGTAGATACTCGGAACTAGATGTCTGATGGAAAAAAGAGAAGTCAAAGCAAATAATGACACACAACTGTAGCAGGAAGTGGGGAGATAAAGATGGAGAGAGGAGGACCACTCATGGAGAGCACAGTCAGGGCTGTGATGTATAAATGCACCCGGTATCTTACCTGCTGAGGAGCCTTACTGTGGATGTCTGGCAAAGCGATGGGGCTAGGCTTGTCTTCTCTTAAATGGCCACTCATTGCAGAGTCTGTTTTGGATGAATATATCAGGGAGTGGGAGGGCTGGTTCTGCTGGCACGGCCTGAACGAAAGGCGAACGTGTGCTTTCGGAGGAGGCTGTGTGGGGGGAATGGGTTTGATGTGGAGTTGTGCTTTATCAGGAAGGTCTCTTTGTTGTTTTCCCACCTCCTGGAGACAGCGAGAGGTGCCCAGTGCTTGTCCAACTTGGAAGTAAGGATATCGAAGGGCCTAAAATCCAAGGCAGAGACCAATTATCGAAACCAAAAAATCAAGCAAATAAGGACAGTGATGTTTGGGACTCAATAGTCAGGGCTGCACGCATGTCACAATTCTGTAGGTGGTGAGGAAAAGCCCAGAATATTGCAGCTTATCACAGCATGTACAAAACAGATTCCTGAGGCCACTTGGAAGTATGTGGGCCATGATGTCTACCGAAATTCCAGAAGACAAAAAGGATGCAGCTTCTACATTCGGTGTCCTTTTTATTTTTCCCTATAAGTAGCCAAACACAGAATTCTACAAAATAATGAAAATGAAGAAGAACACATCATGCAAACCGAGAGCCATTAAGTGATTTTGCTCAATAATTTATTCAAGAGCACAACATCTGGGTTGCCTTGTACAAAATCCTGTTACATTTTCCCTGCGGTGTGGACTCTAGTACAAACTTCTTTCTGTTCAACTCAGCTATGGTCTGGACCTAAAAGACAATTCATTCTTAGCACAGTTTTGTCTTCCATTGTGCTTAGGGCAAAAGAACCTCTGTTCTTCAAAATGTGGGTTTCAGAGTCATTACTTAAATTGTTCTGCTGAAAACCAGTATGGGATTCACAGATGGGGTTGACAAAAGCGGCTCTTCCCCTGCACTGTTCTGGCATAAACACAAACCTAGCTTAATCTGCTCCTTTGATACAAAGCAGTGATGGGGGTGGAGGGAAAAGGAAGAACTCTCTGGATGCCCTCTGTTGGCAAGGCGCTGTTGCCTTCGCCTCCTGCTTGTGGGCATCTCAGGGACACCTGGTTGGCCACTGTGAGAACAGAAGACTGGACTAGTCAGACTTGAGTCTGATCCAGCAGAGCTCTCCCTTCGCTTTTGGGAAGCAAGGTGGTACAGGCAGGCAGGCACATACACCAGAACAAACAGTGGCAGAGTTGTGAATGAAGCCGTTTGGGGACCGGTAGCCAAAGGAATGCAGATAGTAGTCAGAAGCCTGCAGAACTGCTTTAAAGCTTGGAAACCTCCTTCACATCCCACATGAGAGGCAAGGAATGACTTGCCAAGGCATGCCTATGAATGATCAACCTACCTGGCTAGCTGTGGGACGCTTTTTGGGGTCCCACTGCAGCATGTCTCTCATGAGCTGAATTGCCTCACTGCTTGCGTTGGGGATGAGGGTCTTGAGGTTATTTGGGACACACTGAGGCCAGCGGAAATTCATGGTTCCTGCGAGCTGGTACCCTTCAGGCCAGTCACTCTGAAAAAAATGGAAGTAGGCCCATCATGAACAGAATGCCTGCAGTTTAACGACAGCAGCCCTGCATAACACATTGTCCCCTTGCCTTAACATGCAATTTTCTCCACGAGACATTTCCATCGCCAAAGGCAATTGGCTATATAATCCATTGCCTGGCATTAGTTTACAAGCAGGTCAATCACACATTTCAAGGAGCAAATCAGAGGCTGAACTGATCCAAGAGAGGCAATGATAGCCAGCAAGCTCCTAATGGCGTTCTTTCTAATCCCAAGATAGGTGACAGGAGAGCAGAGCTCCGGCCCACAGAGAATCGAGAAGTGGGGACAGGGTTTAATTGGAGTGATTTTTACCACCCTAGGAAAATTAACTAGGCTTAGGCCTACTTCTCCTGAGGAGGTAAACCTCTCCCTCCTTGTACTAATTCAACACTGCAGGCAAGGGCTCACAAGACTGAATATTATACAAAATATTCCTTCCACAAAGAAACAAGATATGGGCGAGAAGGATTATATCTTAAGCTTGTCTTTGGTCTTCCATTTGCAGAAATTATCTAATTTGGGGTGGTAAAACAGTCAATCCAGTGAGGTATGGCTACTCTGCAGAAAAAGATCCAGCGCTTTTTCTATGCAAACATTTTCTTTTCAGCAGCTCAGTCTTTAAAATTAACTCATTGTTAAAAATGCAATTACAAATACAATATTAGCCAAGCTTGGAGGTTTGTAAATTAAGTCTTTCAGGTGAATATCCTTAGCAAGTATGTGAGATAATAAATTCACTATTTATTATCTCATAAAATACACGTATGTCTGAGAGTGAAATGGCATAAATGTTAACAGCATAATATCAGGTACCCCCACAACTTCAGTGGAAGAGGGGAGGCGAATTCTGCTCAAACAGAGGAGTGGTCAACAGGATATCGTGCACAGTTCTTTAGGCTACTACAATTGATTAGTGTCAACCATTTATAGTGCCTTTGTTGTTGTTGTTGTTTTAACAAATGTAAGCAAAGTAAAGGAAGTATGTGGTGTTGTCTTTAATTTTTTACAAGCATTTTAATAAAAACAACATAGCATTTAAATAATTAATTATGCTATATATCTTTCAAATATTTTTGTTTCGAAGGTGTATTGTGCTGAAAAATTAAACTGAGGTACTTTTTACACTGGTTAAATTTAAGTAAGATAAACATGCAAAATTGGATCTCACTAGGACATGCGAGCAACTTGAGGACTTCCAGAGGTTTTGGACTATGACTCCCGTGAGACCCAGCCATCAGAAACAATAGTGAAGGATGAAGGGAATTGCAGGCCAAAACTTTTAGAAGGCCACAAAACTATGTAGCATCAAAACATTTCACAATACAAATTGAAAGTTTTTTAGGCAACTGACCTAAACATTTTCCAGAAACATTTCTGGTCAATGATCCAATTCAACATTTTCCAGGAAATGTGGGAGCCTATTATGCCCACATTAGTAAACCAAGTAGCAGCCCTACTGGTTTACTATTTCAATAAGAGTTAAGCCTCAGTTTAATATTTTAATATGCTCTTGTCCTTCGTTACATGGAGCAGCAATAGACAGACTTTTTGGGCCTGCAGAGTTATTGAACTCAGTAAGACTCACTTTCAAGCAACAGGCATAGGATCAAGCTGCACAGTCTTCTTTTTGCTTTTCCATACAATCTCTCCTTTCTAGATGTTGTTGTTATTCTCTCTGTCATGACAGTATAAAAGAGGACTGCCTATCCAATAGCAGCAGCAGAAGAGTAGGATCAGAAAAGTGCTAAGGCCGGGTGGAGTGTGTGTGGGGGGAAAGCCTCATGGTTTTACTCCTGTATATGCATCAAAGACTTGGTTTTCAGTAGGTACCTTTTTTGGCGTTCCCAATACTTGGCAAATCTTGAAAATCGTATCGATTTCACTGGCTCCTGGGAAAAGTGGCCTAAGTGTGTAAACTTCGGCCATGATGCACCCAACAGCCCAGATATCAATGGGAGAACTGTAGTTGGTAGATCTCAAGAGCACCTCAGGAGCCCTGTACCTGTAAGCCAAAGCACAAACAAACAGCAGGACTTGCAGGTAAAATATAATCAAAGCGTTCTGCTAGATTGGTAAGTTGTCACTGGCCAGTGGCTCAAGGGGTCCCTTTCCCTCCTTCTGAGCAGCAGCAAGAACCCTTGAAAAAAGCACGCTCGATCTTCAAACACGGATTAGATTTATATCCTGCCTTTTTTCTTAGCAAGAACTCAGAGCAGTTGACCTCCTCCTCCTCCTCCTGCTCTCCAACTTATCCCCACAACAACCCATCGTGCCGAGAGACGGTCACTGGCCCAGAGTCATCCAGCTGGCTCTTCGGCTGAGTGGGACGACTGCGTGAGCCCCACTCCCATACTCTTCACCACTACACCAAACTGGCTCTCCGTTCAGGGCAAAGGCACTGCAGTAATTGCACAGTAGCTTCTCTTCTTCAGGCACTGCTGAACCGACTGGTTAAGCCACGGATGCATCCAAGAAGACTGGCAGATACAGGCTTCCTGTCACCCCTCTGTCCAGCAAGTGGAGCCAAGTGCAGGGAGGCTGAGGGGGGAGTGGAGGGATCCCCAAAATCTACGCAGAAGCACCTTCCACCGGACTTCTGGGGACTCCCCCTTTCCCCATGTCATAACCTACCAGGATCCCCAAATCCCCTGTGTAGCATTTGGTGGCTGGGGTTGGATGATTAAGAAGCCTCGTCTGCTAGACCCGTCACATACACTGAAATCCAGATCCAACCCATATACATACCTAATTGAATCAACCTGACCAAGGAAGAAAGTGCAACAAAAGGGAGTTGAGGAGTCTCTTTAGCCTCAAAATTCAAAGTTACAAGCAGGGTGGGAACTGAACTAGTCTTCAACTCCACATACAGCACAATCTGACTCAGGTATTTACCATCTTGTGGATACATAGTCTGTGTACGGAGGCCTGGATCTAATCTCCCGTGCGAGGCCAAAGTCTGCGATTTTCACAAGTTCTGGTCCCATGCAAAGGAGATTTTCAGGTTTCAAGTCTCGATGGAAAAACCCTGCAATTCAAACCAAAATAAAGGTTAGTCTTTTCTCCCAGCCTTATTTTCCTTCTTTCGGTTTTATGGTTAGCCCTCAGCAGGCTTGCCAACAGACTGGAAGACAACTGGCCTGTAGCACTGCTCTCCAAACAAACAGTTTGGTTTACAGAAATTACATGGGAGGGGTTTTTAAAAATTATAATCTACAAATGACAGCAGATCAAGCTGCTGTTAAAGACCCAGAGGTTGGGTCCAATCTGGAAAACCCTAATAAGTTGTTGTTGACTTGAGAGATACTTGGGCATAGGTATGCCTGAAAGCCACAAACTCAGACTTTGCCTGCTAACCCAGACATGTGACAGCTGGAGGAGATGACTCGGTTAAGGCACTCTGCATATGCTAAGAGGCTCTGTCCTTTATTATTTCTTCATGTGCACCATGGCTGACTTGCAGCATAACAAATAGATGCTGGGGCTGAATGTCCCACTGTATATTTATTATTGAAGCACCAAAAACCTCTTCTATGTTTTTAACAATGGAAAGTACCATACTGGAACAGAATGTTTGACTCAAAGGGCAAAAGTGAAGAAAGTAATAGGAGCTTTGGGACCCCATAGTGGAACAGAGCTCTCTGCACAAAGAAATCCAGACTGCAGAGCGAATCTTCTTCTCCTGGATATTTCATATTTTTAAAAAGTTATTCTTTCATTTCTATATGCCCAACAGCCGAAACTAAATACTGCAACCTATATACATGTAGGACAGTACACCTACCCACCTGTACTCTAAAGTGCCGCAACCCAAGAAGTTTTATACTGTGTGTTCCTTGGGACATTCGAACTGCATTGCAGACTACACAGCAGTCATTAATTACAGATGAATGTGCTACCAAATCATCCACTTTGTTTTCACTTTATGAAACTGAGTTGACTTTCTGAAACTGCACTGTTTTGCATGATACAAGAAAAGAGCTGTTCAGAAAACAAGCCCCAGCCCCAGCAAGTCCCATTTGCTGGCTCTTGTCGTTTTTGTTACTGCTGTGATTATACCCCACAACAGTTCATTGAATAACATATTGAGAGAGCAAGTTGAAATATTTTGCTTACTGTAAAATGTTGTCCCCTAACTGAATTTTACATTTTGGCATGCGGATCTGAATAGATCGACATCTTCTAAAAAGGATGGATGAATGTTAATATTCCTTTCTCCTTTCCTTCCCTTGTATCCAAGAACAAAGCAATAATCATATTTATCATCTATACGGAGCAAATGTTCAAGGTGCTCAACTTCTGAAGTTTTGAAGGGAGATATGCTAGAACTGTAAAAAATTATGCATGGTATGGAGAAAAATGGATAAGGAGACACTTGATCTCTTTCTCTCATAATACTAGAACCCAATGGGGTCATCTTATGATGTTGACTGGTTGGAGATTCAGGGCAGATAAAGATTTCTTCACACAGCAAATTGCTAAACGATGGAATCCACTTCTGACAAGATTAGTGATGGCCATCAAGTTGGAGTGATTCAGAAGGGAATTGCACAAATGCATGAAGAATAAGGCTGTAAAAGCTACAGCTATATGTTGTTTTTAGCATGAAAGGCATATGCCTATGTATCCAAGTTGCTGGGGTATATGAATGTGAGGGTGCTGTTGTATTCATGTCTTGCTTATGGGTTTTCCATGGCCTTTTGTTTAGCAACTGTGTGTGCAGAATGCTGGTCTAGATGGATCCTTGGTCTGCTGTAGCGAGGCTCTTCTTATGTTTGCATTTCAGTGGGATTGCATAACAGGTACCATTATCCCCAATAGTACACAGAATACTATGGTTTATATTTGCTTTACAGATTCTAACAGACCTCTGACCACATAGTTTACCATACTTTCTTTTACCATGGAAACCCTAGAGACTTTACTTGAGCACTGCCGCTCCCTGGGAATGACAACACATAATCCTCTAACAAGAACAGAAAGTCAGTTTAACAATAGCATTTGTTTATTAGAATAATCTTGTGCAACAGATAAATTTTGTGCTGCATAATTCCACGCATGTTTACCCAGAAGGTAGTCTTGCTGAAGTCAGTGGAGCTTACTCTCAAGTAATCATGCATTGGCCATCAGCTGCTATTAGGATCTCCAATAAATATATTTTATCTAAATACTTTTTAAATAAACTTTTGGACAACCTCATCAGATGACAGGTCATTATTACCTTCTTGTACTTACATGAAAAGGCTTTATGACTTTTCTAATGTTTCTAAAATGATAATTAACATATATTCCGACCATTCCATTGCAGTAATCACACATACGCATACAGTTTGGCATTTAGATCTTACCGTGTTTATGTATAAATGCAAGTCCTTGAAGAATCTGATACATAATATTTCTGACAGTAGATTCTGGAAACAATTTGTTCCTGTATGGTTAAAATGGGAAGACAGATGCTTATTTTGAAATGTGTTGTTTCATCTTATCCATACTCATTTATTTACTGCAGATATATGTAAAAGCTATAAAAGATGAGAATAGCCATGCACATCATGATAAGCATGGTTTATAATCTGCATTTCATAAAATTAATCTGCAAAGGACACAGGATTTCTTCCCATCCTATTATTTACTACAAAATATTTATCATTGCAACACTTTCTCCATTTTATCCTCACATTGGCATTTCCCTTTAATAGTTCTAGTTTAACAGCTCCAGGTTTGGTGCCAGAATCTGGCATCCTTGGACAACTGCGCATGGTACAGCAGGGCACGCTGCCAAGGCCTGCCCCATCGCTGGCCCCCACAGCCTGGCACTTGAAGGTATTGTTGGAAGTGTAATCGGTAGCTGCACTCAAAACATGCAGAGCTGCTTGTAGCAATGCTCCGAGAGCTGCTGTCACAAAGTCAGTCCCAGAAAATCAGGGGCCATGACTAAGGAGCTGCCTCAGACTGCCCAGAGCTGCCTCAGAGCTGGAGCTGACCCTGCATAGCTCACACAAAGGTTCCCTGAGGCAAGCGAGTGGGGTTGAGCATTCTCCAGCACTTGCAATTCATAGCTGTTCTGGTGTTTATGGCTTATACAATTTGACTGAAGTGATTTAAGGCTACATCGCAGCAGTACTTGGGTGGACTGAATTCTACCCAATGATGTAAAACTGGAGAATTCCAAACTATTGATCAGTTAGACATTTAGCTTAAGACACCTATACTGGAACACGTTTGTGAGAAAACCAGCATACCTTTCTTTCATTAACTGATAAAGGTTCTCCTTCATGTATTCAAAAATAAAGTACAGATGATCATTTTCTCTGATAACTTCTTTTAGTTTCACAACGTTGGCATGGTTGAGTTTCTTCAAGGACTGAAAACATGAGATAAGACTATTAAGACCCTGTTGCAATGTGGGCTTCAGGGTGAGTGACAATGAATCCTTGTCCCAGAAAGGTAACTTGAGCTGCTGCTAAATTTAAATAGCCAGCTGATTTTTTTAAACACCCACCTCCTAGAGTTTAAAAGGCACAATGTTCTCCTAAGATGCATATTAATAATGAGCCTGCTTATGCAAACTGTTCTGTAGCATTAAGGCAGTCCAAAGCCCTAAAAAAACTATATAGCATAGTCAAAGACAGGATTTAATCATGGATTTTCAAGCAAAGGTTGCTGAGGAAATCCAACATAAACTTGGGTTTATCTTCAACCCTGAGTGAAATTATCAGGCCCCTCTTGCCAGCGCATACAGTGAAAGGTAGTTAAATACAGATCAGATAAAGTCGGGCTGAACACTGGATCGTTAGTTTAAAAAAAAAAGATGTTCTCATTTAAAATGTAAGTTCTCTGTCTTGGACTGAGAACAGATGAAAATGGCAAGCACCTTAACCTCTCGAAGATTCATGCATTCCTCCCAGGAATAAAATTTCCTCTTCATCCTGTGAAGCACAGAACAAGTCAATATCACCAATAGTTTGACATCATATGCATTTGAGTCCCATCATGATGTAAAACTGGAGAAATAAAAGAAAGTCTACAATAAGCAAGACATTGCTTATTTTGCAACAAACAAACAAACTTCTGCAAGCCCTACAGGTCTTTCGTATTCCAACAGTAACTCGCACTGACAGTGAAAACCACTTTTAACACTGTCAAAGCAGCTGACTGTGATCGGGCAGAAATAAATGCTATTCAAAGGAGAATAGGGCTGAAACACACACGCACAAGCTTGCTCAAGGGGAAGTGCCACACGTAACTTTTTGAAATGTGCCAGACCTGTGCAGAATCTTTACATCTCAGGTTTTTTATTTAACAATTTAAAAACAAATAAAGCTATCCTTCCACTTTATGGCTAAGAAGAGAGGAAATGCCCAGCATAGATGCAGAGCTCCTTACAAAATTAGGTAAAATAACAAAATGGTCTCTTTCTTTTCATGGACTTTTTTGCTGAAAGGTTTTTTTTAATCTCACAGACCCAAATGCTAGGTTACATTAGTTTCTGAAGAGGCATTGTTTTATTATTTATTTTGGAGTCTTGAGTATACTATACATACAGACTATACTGAGCTTAGGGCATTTATCCATTTCCTGAGCCTGTTTATTCCATATTCTGGAGATCCATAGACTGGCAAACATCCATTTGTTTAAGCAATGTTTCACTTCTTGCAATATGTATAAATGTATTGTACCATCCTAACATTTCCTCCACCAAATGCAAAGTGTTATACTATTTCATATATGCACACATTTCTATTGCCAAATTTCACATGGAAACTAAACCAGAGACCATTTGTTAAAATGGGACCTTGACATTATTCCAACAGCCCCGTGAAATTCTGGTCAAACTGTCCTCTCTTCACATCATAAGTAAACCCATGTCCTACATGCTCCTAAACTAGAGATGCAATGGAAGCAGTTATTTCTCTCACTCTTGGTGGCTACATTCATATGTCACACTAAGCCACCTCGTCAATAAGAGATGCTGTGCAGGTCATTCTTGGACCAAGCCACAGTGCACCATACAGAACTCAGGCTGACCATGGCTCACCCCTGGAAATTGACACAGCAAGACTGCAAATACTAACTTGCCAGGGACCAATTACTGAGCACTCAATTGTAAAGTACAGGAAAACCAGTGAGGGGAAAGAGGCAAAAGTAGATGCACCAGAAAAGAACAAGGGACAGTATCTACCAATAATGTTAAGTGTTAAATTTTTAAGATTCACACTTCTGAGTGTTCTCTTCCTTTTCAACACTCCCCTGAGTCTCCAGGTACTACAGGAAGGGGGTCACTAACAGCCCCTCCTTTTGCAGCTTCTTTTCATAGTAATTACTGCTATAGTTACTGCAGTTTCCTAACAGTTTATTAAACATGCAGAAAGAAACACAAAGTTAATGGCTGTGAAGTAAATAGAAAGGACATTTGTACCAATTTAAGTGCTGTGAAGTAAAAGGAAGAAAATTTGCACACCTGCATTAATTGTGTGTTGTTTGCAGTTAACAAACCATGGTTCCATTAGCTTCAGACAACATAATAAGCCATGTTTCAACAATAAATCCATTGTTCAACAACCACCCACACTCAACCCCGTGAGAGTGGGTTAGCGTGTCATCTGAACCCTTTTCTCTCAGTCAAAATTAAATAACTAAAATTTAAAAATCCAGAAAATGTATCTTGCTTTCTTGCTGAAAGAAGACCAGAGATAAGGATAACTAAAATACCCGATTTTGTGCTGAAACACAAGACACTTTTTGCAGCCACTCCAAAAGTATTTTAACACTGAGAACCTCTAACTATGTGGTGGCTTCCACTGACATGTGAAGTTGTTGACATTTACCAGAGGTGGTTTCACTAAAAAACACTGCTGCACTGTGTCTACAACTATATTTGGATTGCTATTCTAATCATCTGTGCCCCTCAAAACATGGAAAGAACTGGGTCAATTGTGAACCAGGAAATAAGACTACCAGAAAAAAAAGCAGGGTAAAAAGCACATGGCAGACACTAAAACTTCCCAGCCAGGACAATAAAATGTTGCCACTTTTGCAGGATTCATTCATTTGATGATCTCCCTTCTGACAGAAATCTACTGCCATTTCCCTTCCCCCTAGAGCATTCATCTATGTACTCAAGTACATTGAGAAACGTCACACATTGTACACAAACAGCACGTCCATGTCAGTATTATTCAAAATCCTGTTACAAGCCATCTGGTCAGATGAGGGAGATGAGATTACAATATACCAGATGGTTATAGCCCAGACATCATGTACTTTGTCTTAAAGTTGTATGTATACACACACACAACCCAAATTCTCCTATTCTCCATTATTTATTCTGCAAATAATTACTATTTTCCATCCTTTATTCTGGTTTTGCTGGGCATTGGCAGGAATAAGATGCTAAGGGCACTGCAGCCCTATCCTCAAAATCCCATTGATGCTATGAGATCTCAAGAAATTTGGTCCACTTATTTTGAAGCACATTTTCCTAACCGTGAAGGGAAGATACTTTTAAAAAAAAGCCAGCTGAGATTCTTAGGAAATAGAATTCTTCCCTGATTATTATTTCTGCTGAAGTGTTACTAGCATTCAACCTTGGCCATCACATATCAAACAGGAAGGTATTTGTACAATATCAAGCTGCCTTTGGCTTCTGAACCCAATGGGTCAAATTCCCTCCGATAGCTGCGTGGCTGGGACCATGGTTCAGCGTCAGAGCAAGGAACATCTGAATCTACAAGCATTACAAATGTAAATTTGTGCAGGCATCTATGGTAGTATCCAGTGTTACTCCTACATAGAGTATGTAGGAATAACATTGGATAATACTCTTAATATTTAAGGGGAACAAAGTTAAAAATGTCAAAGATAAAGAGGCAGTGTGGCATAGCAGTTAGAATGTTGGACTGGGACTTGAGAAATCAGGGTACTAGTTCCCCCTGGCCATGAAGCTTGAATTGTGACTTTGAGCCACTCAGGTATGCTCAGCCTACGCTACCTCATGAGGTTATTGCTGTGAGGATAAATCAGAGAGAAGGAGAACCTTGTAAACTGATTTCAGTTTCCTCCCGAAGGAAGAAAATAGGGTATAAATAGAATACAATATTAATAATAATAATAAAACAGCACAGCATAAGTCCCTTACCTCTTGATGGCAATCAGCTCCCCTGATTCAATACTTCTTCCCAGGAGGACAGAACCGTATGTGCCATCTCCCAGCTGTTTGATAGTTGTATACCTATTCATGATGCAGACTCATTTCAGGCCGTAGCGTGCACTTGGCTGCTGCTGAAGCATTTCCCCTCTGAGTGAAGCCAGTTTTTTCGGTGGCAGCACAAACACAAAGTATCTGGGACTGTGCAAGTGTTCTCAGGGCTCATATTTTCAAAGACTGGCTTTTGGTCTATAAAAGTACAGAGAAATGGTAACAATTTCCCAAGTCTGAGCATCCAGACTTACTGTGGTGTGGCTCATGATGATTATCTGTGTTCTTCTTGGTCCGCCTCAAGGACAGAGATATCAAATACAGCTGACCCTTTTCCGAGGGTCATGTGTGCCCACATGAACTACTGCTTGCAATTGATATAAGCACCAGAAAATAATAACCTAAGAATAACAGGCACAATGATATATCAGCTGGAAGTTTTGTTACAGGGAATAGTTGCTTAATGCTAAGACTTAAGTCCTGACAGTTCAGAATCCCAAGAGAAGCATATATATTCATTGGAAATAGTTTCTTGCATCATCTAAAACAGTCAAACTTTTTTTTTAAATTACAAAAAGGCAGACCTAGAATGTGACTAGATGCAGGGAAGCAAAATTATCTTAGTGTACTGTAGACAGATGATCAATCTGATTCTAAGGGAGACTTAATATACCAGGATTACTAACAAGGCCAGCTGTTCTATCTCAGAACAGAGCTGAAAAGAAGACGTGTTACTCACTCACCTTTTGTCAATCATTTTCTCTAAGATTAGGGAGCTCACTTACAGGAAGGCTGAATATTAATCTTACCGTATTTAGGTGATGCTGCCCCATTTAGTATTAAAACAAAAACAAAACTTGCGAGCACATGGAAAAATCACATACTGCAGTTGTTTTTTTCCTACAGCTACAAGGAACTCTACATGATCTTCCATGAGAAAGAGATTAGCAAAAAAGTTCCTGATCCAGAACAGTGGATCTGCCTTATAAGCTGTTGTAAGTTTTGTCCAATTTTCACAATGCATTTTATCCTTTGTGTAGGCGATTATAAGAGAGCAAGTAAATAGTTTAAATCTTTGAAGTGTTTGTTCAATAGTTGTTACACTTTAAGGGAAAATGCTGTTAAAAAAACCCTATGTGCCACTTGACCTTGGAAGGATGCTTGTAATATGAAAACAGGCATAGAAAAAGTGTGGAACAGAGGTTGCACACACCATTTAACTATGGTTAACTGTGACTCATAATTCTGATTTTGTTGATGGTATCGTGGTGTGTGGCCATTTGTTATGCACTTACTCCCTGCTGAGACTAGAGCAGCCTTCCCCAACCTGGTGGCCTTCAGAGGCATTTGGACCACAATTCCAAAGAGAGCAATACTTTAAATTTACTTGCTCTAGTAAGTCTACTTGCACATTTGGACAGTTGCAGTCCAAATGTGCCTAGAAGGCAAAGGCTGAATTAGAGTATAGCAGCTGAAGCCATCGCAGTGTCTGAAGAGTTTTAACATAGCCACTCTGTGGCAAGGGACCACCCAATTCTACCCAGAGAGTCTGAAAGAAACCCATGTCTTTTCTGTGTTATTCAGGGTACTGAATCCATCCATTAAAGAATGCCTTGGCCCAGCAATTTGTTGGAAGGCACAAGCTTGATTTTACATGAGCTGAGCAGGGCTGTCAATGGCACAGCATTTTTGAGGGCACTCATGTATAAGGTCAACACAAATTAGAGAGCAACTGCTGGCATGTCACAACAAGTCCAACAATGCACAGATAGGGTCATGTCACTCACAAGGACCACCCCGTCACTTCAGTGCCAGAGCAGCTTCACATGCCTCTCTCTTTGTGCACACACGGGACTCCAGATAATTTTTTTAAACAGCTGTACTCTTACAATCCTACACCATTTAATTGTGAGCAAGTCTCTTTGAATGCAACAGGAACTAATTCTAAGATGACATGGGTAGGATAGCACTGTTGGTTTCTTACTTATCCAGGAAAACTTTCGTTGCTTAACTTAAATGAAGCAGTTTTAAACAATTGATCTGGAATTTTGGCAAATGGTCACTAATGTTTAACATCAATGGCTAATGTTAATGTGTAAAACACTGCTTTAAAGGATGTTAATATTTGAATTGAAAGCTTCAGCTATTGAGGTGTCTAAAAATTAAATTAATTCAAAATACTGTGGCTAGGTATGGACTAGGTGGCAGCTTTTCCCTATGACCATCCAAACCTGGCATATAAGAATTTAACACAAAAATACAAAGTATTTCCATCACAACTGTTAATATGAGGTTAAAAAACAAAAGATTTCTCTTTAGTGTATTAAAACCACCAGAAAGGACCTTCTTTCCTCCCAAGTATATTTATTGTCTTTAAAGTCTTATTAATGTCAATGGGACTTCCAGATCTCTATGTTCAAAATGGGGGTGTTCCCAGGCAAGTTTTCAGGGAATTCAATGAGAACTCAGCCAAACCATTCTAGAATTAATGGATTGTGAAACCAAAGAAGCTAAAAGTGAAAATAGTTACATGTATCTGCAGGAACCTGAGTGTTGTTTATGTGCCATCCCTTTTTGCAATGATAATCATTAGGCCTAACAGACATATTCATGTAAAAACGAAAGGAGAATGAAATTCCACCAGAGACAAAATGGTTAATTTGCATTAAGGGAAAATCAGGAGAAATATGGAAGGAAGATAATACCTGTTGTTTTTAAAATGTCTTGGAAACCAGGCAGACAAATAAGTTCTGGGTTACCACAAAGCAGAACACAGTAATCGTAATTAAAAACATATTTCTAGATGGAGAAAGATTCCAGAAATTTTTTTGCAAGAATGTTCTTTGAGGTTACTGGCAGTTACATAATGAGGACAATGAGGCTTTTATAGGAGAGACTAAGGGCTTGATAAGCTACAACTACAGTCTGAGTATTCATGTTCTGATAATAGATGGGCTCAAGTATGCACTTCCATTTAAGTTTTCCACCAATCTGAAACATAAAGGGGAGAATGGAGATAGACAGATTTCCTATCTAGCTGCAAATATATACCTAGCTAGAGGTTTTAAACTTCATCCTGGTCTTACCTCACCTAGAAAAGTAACAAGAATTCACAGCTAGTCCAGGCACACTAGAGAAAACAGCAGCTACAGCAGGGGTGGGCACCATGACCATATCTGCAGCACCCCCATCTCTTTCCCTACCACTGCTGCCAAAATCCCAGAACAGTCAGGCTTCTGACAGTGCATCAAGCAGCTGTTTGGCGGGCTGTTGAGAGTACGATTGTACTGAGAAGCAGGGTTTGCACTCCCTGCATGCCTCGCTTCTGAACAGAAAGGCTGTGATTTTGGTGGTGACAGCCATTTCCGCCAGCAGCAGCCGAACCCTTGGAAGTTGTCCACCCTTGAGCCATGGAAACAATTTTCCACTTTTATTTTCAAATTCTTGGCAAACAGAGATAGTAACAAAACATATGGTTGCTGCTATATTTATTTCAAGGAAGCCTGCACAATTTAGGCCCATCAAATGAAAGATTAGACCACCAAGCAGTTATTATAGTTGTTAAGTATTTGACATCCCCTTTGATATTGCAGTCCCCAAGACGGAAGCGAAGACAACAGTTGTACTGAGATCTTGGGTCCTCTCTCCCATGCATGGCTAGTGGGTTCTGCTTGGCTTTGTCACAAAACATACAGCATGCAAGCATACAACAAATCTAGAGAAAAGTTAAAATAAAAAGGCTATAACTAAGATTCTTACTTCCAGCTACGATATTTATTAAACAATCCAATACATGCTTACTTTGAAGGAATCCAGGCTGGCATAAGATGGTCAGTCAGAAATGTGTCGCTCTAGATAAAGGAGAGCTGGGCTCAGTTATCAGATCTGTGATAGCATTACGCAGATCAACAACTCACTGACCTATTTCTGCAACAAATCTTCAGAATTAATATTTCTAACCTAGTCACTCTATAGATCCTACACACTAGAAACACAGACAGGACCTTTCACTATAAAATTATCATAAATCAGCAGTCAAAAGTCTTATCAATACATGTTTTCCACCAATAGCTGCAAATATTTTCCAAACAATGGTGTAAATCTAACCACTGAACCATGCACATTTTGAGCTAAATTTGTATTAGTTTCATTATTAGATTCACAGATTCATTATTAAAATCATCATGTCTGAAGGGATTCTAGAATTATTTTTAGAAGATGTCGACACAATGCATTATTCATATTATTTAAAATTAAAGAAGCTGTTTTGCAAGAGATATCATTTACAATTTTTAAAAAATGAGTAAGATAAATTCTAATTAAAATTTAAAAGAACCATTGTTATTCAATAGGCTTTCATATTAAAAGAACCACATAGACATGCTACAATGTTGGCTTTACAGCAAGGTGGGAAATCTGTGGTCCTCCACTTCCATCATTCCTGGTCTTTGTGCCATGCTGGCTAGGACTGATGGAAGCTGTAACCTCTGGAGGGCCATGAGCTATCCACCGCTGCTGCTTTACAGGCTTTTCCACAGCAGGTATGGACCTAACAGAAAGCTCTCACGTGCAGTGAAGTTTAGGCCTCTACTTACAGCATCAACAGTTACCATTAGGCGCAACCACAGTTTTAAAGAATCAGGGATGTAAGCAGACAAAGTTTACCCTTTCCTTTTAGAGCTTGGAGACAAGATTTAACTCCTGAGAATTTTCACCATGAGCAAAATCCCGAGGTTTAACCTGATTTTCGGAAGCGCCCCCCCCCTCCGCATCTGCTGTGCCTGGAGATGACATGCACAGCCTAGATAAACACCCCGAAGGAAGTCCGCTAGTCCCATCTACCGTCTTAGAAGGTTGCAAGCTTTGCAATTCTAAGAGAAAGGGCTCCTGTAATATGGGGAGCGGGAAGGAAAACTATTTTCATAGTCTGTACAAACCGTGCCAGCGGTAGCCGTAGATACTTCCATCAAAAGGAAGTCAGGGCTGACTCATCGCACTCAGATGGGCAAGAAGGAGCTTGACGCCCACCAAGAGAAAAACACATACACACAAAAGGAACGCGCAGCCACAAAGCAGGGACAACCGGGAGCTTTCCCTGGTGAAAACAACACAGCAGCTCCCCCTATGGCTTTCCAATAGGCAGGCCTAAAATATGTACGAATTTCCTCCTGTTTCCTGCAGATGGAGCGAATTCAACAATAGAAGCAAGCTTAACTTGAAGCAAATCTTATTAGGATCCCTGTTTGTTTTCAAACACGTACCTTCATGTAAAACATAACAAGAGGGAGAAGACCTCTGAACTGTCACAAGTGGCGTTCCTTCCTCACTAATTACAACTGACTTAGTGGGGATCTGGGAGAACACTTGCCAGGACGGTCAGCGTTGCTTAGACAGACAGGAGCCTGGACACCATACATTATAGAAAGTAAGCTGTGTACCGTGTTTATTTAACACCGTATTCTGCACATTGCCGGAGCCTCTAACGTGAAGGATGCCTTTACTGAGTAACGAAACACGACAGCTGATCCTAGACATTATTTTTAACACAGAGGATGCAACAAAGGGAGCAGAGAAAGGATAAGGGGCAGAGTAAACACAGGACAGAACTTATTTACGATATTTTTTTATCTCCTCAGCCAAAAAGGCTTCAGATGCCGCTGATGCTGTTTAGTTATCCGTTAAGCGTAGTTTATTTATTTGTAGGTACTATTAAATACGTTAAGGATTGCAGCTTTAAAGACTGTGTGCTTTAAACTATTGTCTGCTTTCTCATCTGCAGAAATCATGACAGGAGAGTGTATAATCGGGGAAATAGATTGGCTCGTTGAAGAGCGACATTTCTAGGCTTTAGTGCGGGGAACCTTAAGCGGTGCATGTGGACCCTGGTGGATTCCATTCAGCTTCTAAGTCTCTACGGTTATTTCGAATAGAACGGAAATAAGAGCGCATTTAAAGGCATTTAAACTTAAAATATTCTTTTCCGAAGTGCAATGCATAAAACTGAACAAGGCATTAAAAGCAGGAAAGCTGCTGTATTGGAGAATACTCTTGTTGCGGGGCAAAACAATTTGAGATTGTTAGGCGCTTGTAATTAAGGCTGCCTTGCTTTCTCCACCTACTAGGGAGAAAATGCTATCAAACTAGTGGTATTCATTTCTGAGACTTCTGCATGGGATCGCGGTGCACATAATACTATTACATTTAAAGAAGGGTGTAACCAAGTAGCTAAAAATTACACGCGGCCGAGACAAACTGCAACACCCATCATACACCGCGAAGAGATTCCCGCAGCCTCCGAAGTCTTAATCACAAGCTCCCAGCATTCCGTGTTCTGCCTACATTTCCCAGCAAAAGATTGGGAAGCACGCATGCATCCCTTACTCGGAATGCAGATTTCCTTTCCCAGCTCCAAGTCCATGGTGTTTTCGCTTCCTGCCTAGCAGAGCTTCCTTCCGGTTTGTGCTACTACGCGCATGCGCGGCGTCTTGTCTGGCACCGTCCCTCGTCTGCTCCGTCCCGCTGTTCAGTTAGTGACGCTCGCTTGGCTCGCGCGCTCGCAAGCTTTAACCTGCCTCGCTTTTCGAGGAAATGGCTGCCGTACGACGCGCTCGCAGTGACTCCCGCTGCGTGGTTCGTTTCTCTGACCGAGAACTGTGTTAAATTCTCTTCCCTGCTTGCTGCCGCTCGAGAGGGAGGGGAATAGGAAAACAAAAAGGGAGCCTGCGGCCGTCAGTCGCCAGCTGGGAGCGGTGGAAGTGGGTGGGCGTGGGCCTGTCGAAGAGGCCGCCCTCGTCCGAAGCAGAGAGAGCGCCCCGGCTTGACGAGAACTACCGTCAGACGGACGGCCTGGCTGTCACAGCCTCGGCCTCAGCATGGTGAGCGGAGGTGGGGGGAGGAGTGGCGGCGCGTGACAGGGACGAAGAAGGGGCGGAGGGGGCTTAGCGCGCAAGCGCCAAAGGGCAAGCGGCGTTTGGTTGAGGCTGATTGGAAGCTCCTCCCACCAGCAGGTAAGGGGGCGGGTCGGCCGATAGTATGCGGAAAGGGCGGGAGGGTGTTTTGTTTGTGCTTAACGTATTTTTCGTTCTTCTCCCGTCTTCCGCCACATTGAACCTTACATTTGCCGTCCCCCCCCCCATTCAGAACTGAAAATACGCCTAATTTAACACGCAATCTGTCTATCAACTAAGCTGATAAGTAAGCAGCTGTCCACCACTGAGAACTGTCAGGTTGCAGTACAGCCTTCCCCAACTTGGTGTCCTCTGCGTGTGTTGGACTACAGCTACATAGCTAGTGGGCACCAGGTTGGGAACGATTGCTTTCGTAAATAAAATGTTGATATCAAGAAGGTAAAAAGGTATGCTATAATGAGTTAATTTGGGGAGGTGAGTCTTTATTTCAGGTTCCACAACAAAAATTGTTACCATTTACAGCATACTATTGAGATGTGGCTAATTGGCTTTTCACTTTCTTCTCTGACCTTGTTTTTTTCCCAAGGAAAAAATAAAATAGAAAATCATCATTACAGTGACTAGAGTAGTTACTATTATTTGTAATGCCCTACTAAATCATAACATGCAAAATACAGTCTTAATTTAAGAAATTGATTAAGAAGAAAACTAATCTCTAGTATTGATAGATCAGTATGACTTTGTCCCACTTCTGAGTTGTCTGTAGGCAGCAACACAGCTGTGCAAATTAAGTCCAAGGAGGTTAATTAGTTCACAAAAAAGATTAACTCATCTGTCTGAGCACAGCTATGAGACCAATTGTACAGGGGATTGAAGTGGATCCTCCAGTGTTTCTTAAGCCCTGTCAAACATTTAAGCTTGATTGATCTTTGTAATCTGCTTTAAAACACATGCACGCATGCACACACAAGGAACCTATTATAACGACAGACCTTATTTGTATTTCAGTAGTGGTTGTTTATAAATGTAATTTATAATGCTGCCTGAAGTTTCTCATGTCCATGGTAACTTAAATTTCAGATTTAGTGCACAGCTATCCAGAATATTTAGGCCAGCTGTGGATGAATTTCATTTATTGAGGCCTGAGAATGTAGACAAGGTGTTTGGTTATGTTCAGACATCAACTTGTATGCTTAATCCTTGTCTCACTTGGTTTATTACATTCTGTTGGGTGGGGATGTCTAACTCAGTTCAGGAGCTTGTAAATTCTTCTTTGAGAGGGAGCAGTCCCTCTTCTTTGAGAGGTTGACCAGTCTCTTTAAAAGAGGCAGTAATTGGACTGTTGTGAAAAAAACCCAAACTGAACCCAGTAGATGAAAATAACTATAGGTTAGTTGCTAACATACTCTTCCTGGGCAATGTGCTTGAGTGAGTGCTGATGTACTCCAGGATCTGCTTGATTAAACTGGTTTCTGATTCATTTCCAACTTGTTTCAGGATTTGGAATGGCAGCTGCCTTGGTTGCCCTGTAGGATGCCCTGTGAGCTGTGCTGTGAGAGTGATGGGAGTATGAGCCTTTTGGTTCTCTTAGAGGCTTTCAGTTTCATCATCCATGGTATCTTTCTGGATATGCTATGCAATAGGGACACAGCACTGCAGTGTTTTTCTTCTTGTTTGTATTGCTGATTCTGGAAAGTGGTCCTGGGGGATTACCAAAATAGATAAATTTAAAGTAAGATATTTTATTGTTAAAATGCTCATTTTATTTCAAAACACAGAGTTACAGTTAGTACTGTTTCAATGAATTGTTGTAAACTGTCTAAAAGAACTCCAGCTAATTGGGTGGTATAAAATGAAATCTGATAATAAATATCATAAACATGTTAATTCTACACTTAACATTTTCACAACAGTGAAGTCACCTACCAATTAAACATAGACATACATTTCAGTTTTTTATCTCATAAAAATGGTTGTTTCCTGTACAACTACCAGCTCTTGTTTTTTGAACATTTCTGTGACTGAAGATGCATTTACAAAAACAGACTGGAGAAAACTGTTTTTCAGCGATTATGGTGAGCTGGATCAAGCAAGGCAGAGGTCTTAAGACAGAGACTCAGCAGAGTGGATAAACATTGGATTTTTTTAAAGTTAGACTTTTAATATTTTTAAATGTACATACTGTTTCTCAGATGTAACTTGGCTAACATTCGATAATCTGGAAACAGGCACAATGGCCATACAGTCAATATTTGCTGGATACATTGAGTTAAAATAAGCTTTTTTTGTGGAAATGAAAAAATAATCTGATCACTTCTCAAATACTGATCACGCTGTGTAGAAGAAACTTCATCATGAAATTGCATGGCAGAACATTTGGCATCCTGAGAACTTGCCTGTTCATCCAGGCTTTTCCTTTTTCTGTCTGATGTTTTATTTAACCTTGTTTTTGTTGTTTTTAAAATTAATTGAAATTTTAAAATGGTATTTTAGGTGTTATTTTAATTGTTAATAATATTTTTTGAAGCTCCCTTAGGGTTTAGCAGTATAGAATGTAAAAAATTGTTACTCTGTACTATTTCTATCTGCCAGTGAAGAATGCTGTTCTGTAGGAAAAGAGGAAAACATTCAAAAAGTATGCAGTGCGCCTGGATACAAAGGCTGCAAGTGTGTAAATAATATTCTGTTGTAAATTAACATTGTTTAGTGCTCAAATTTGCACTATTGTTCAGAAAACACACAAAAGGTATGCAATGGGATATTTGATTTAAATCAATGATTTTAAACACATTTTTCCTTGCTGATTTAAGTCAATTCTCCCTGACAGTGGTTGCTGTAATCCTTGGGAATTGTGCTGTGCTGTTCCATAAGGCTCTGTTTTATCCTACATACATTTCAGGATCTATATAGAACCATTAGGAGAGGATCTCTGGGGATGTGGGCTGAGGTGTCACTAATAGGCTAGGACAGGGATGGCGAACCTTTTAGAGACCAAGTGCCCAAACTGCAACCCAAAACCCACTTATTTATCGCGAAGTGCCAACACTGCAATAAAACATGAATACTAAGGTTTTAGTTTAGAAAAAACAACTCATACATTAACATCTTTTGTCTTAAAAGAAAAACACAATATATACATGAAATATATTTCAATATATTTCAATGATACAAACAGCTTTTTATTGAAATGCTTTTGCACAATGAATGTGATATTTGCTGTTGCATGCATGCTGATAATTTGTCAAACCTTGGCTCATACTTGGTTTGAGAGCAACACATTCAGCACTCAGGTTATCTGTTAGTCTGTTTCTTGTATCAGATTTGATATAATTCAAAGCTGAAAACAGCTGCTCACAAGGATAAGATGATCCAAACAAAGTAAGAAAAGCAATCCCAATTGCTTTCATTGACTTAAAACTATTTGGCAGAGAATTCCACACTTTAAGGATTCATTTTCAGAACTACCAACTGTGCTGTCTTTTGTCATCCCTTCACACACTATCTTCTCACAGGTCATAGAATTTATTTTTCCAGATAGAGTTTTCTTGAAATTTCAATAGCTGCATTTCCAGATTTTGAAGATCTAACCAGTGTAAGCAGGAAAGATCAAGTTCTTCAAATTTGGCTTTATCTGGAGAAGTAAGAAAACACAGGGTTGTCTCCATCTTACAGAACTGTAAAAATCTGTTACTAAAATTCTCCTTTGCAGCTGCTACAATGCTAGAAAATTCTTTGTAGATTTCCTGATGGCTTGTAGGATTGTCTGCAAACGTTGTAGAATTTTCTAAATGCATTTTTAGATTTGGAAAATATTTCAGCTGCCCACTTTCAAGGTCCCTTTCAAAAACCTGCAGTTTGTTCCCAAATTTTTTGATATCACAAAACATCCTTTCTGCTGTTTTCCCTACACCTTGTAGTTTTTTATTCAGTACATTGAAGGGTAGTGTAAAATCTGTAAAAAACATGAGGTTGTTAAGCCAGGCCATATCAGTGAGCTATGGATATTCCTGCCCTTTTTCATTCATAAACAGCCTAATTCCATCCAAGCAGGCTACAAATCTCTCCAGGACTCGTCCTCTGCTCAGCCACCGGACGTTATTGTACATAAGTAATGTATTATACTGTGCCTGAACCTCATCAAGAAGTGCTTGAAACTGTCGAAAATTAAGAGCACGAGCCATGAGGTAATTCACCATTTTTGTGACATCTTTGAGGATATCGTCTAATTTTTGCTACTTTCCCTGGCACAAAGAGCTTCTTGGTGTATAATACAATGAAACTGAATGACTGGATGTTTTGCTTCTTTAACAAAGAACTGTATGAAACCAGATGTTGCTCCCACCATGCAAGGTGCCCTGTCCCTAATCATCGAAACCACTTTTTCTGGCCTTATGTCTTGTGACAGCAGAAATACTGTTAATGATCGAGTCCTGTGCGTGGCAAGTGATGTTAGTCAGCAGCTCACCACTGGCTTACAAAAGGCAGCCTGTTACTCCATTGCTTGGATGAAAGCACAGATATAAATAATCATGCAAGGCTAGCAGTAATTTTGAGTTATGCCGTTGGTGACATCATGAGAGAAGAGCTGGTGAAACTGGTGTCTTTGCCTGGAAGAACACAAGGGATAGATATCTACAATGCTGTGATGAAGGCTTTTTTGTCATAAGGCATCTCAGAGATGTGTTGCATGATTTTATCCTTGTTTGGGAAATCATGAAAAAGTGAATTACTCCCAGACAACATGGCCATTTTGATAATATCCCCATCAGAGAGGGGCTTACCATGTATTGCTATGCACAGTGAAATTTGAAAGCTGGCAGCTGTCAGATGATTTGTTTTAGAAAGATAGTTGCAAAACTACGATACTGGGAATGATGTTTCCTCAATTTCCCTTCAAGAAACTCTTCCCTTTCAGTTTTACCAAGTTTAGGAACACTTTTGTGGTTGATGTCAAAGTGCCATCTGATACTTGATGTACAACACACAACACTTTCACTACATAGAATACCTAATGCTTTCCAGTTGTGTTCAGTCACTCCAAATGACTCTGTCCAAGCCTCTTGGAATGATCTTCCACTATCTGTTTTCAGTTTTGCTTCTTTTTGCTCTAGTCATTTTTTGGTGTTCAAGACTTGGAGTCTACAAAAACATGAAATTAAAAAAAATGAAGCACCCAATACAAATCTATCTGTATACAAAAAATAACTAACACTATTAGTTGACACTAAAGAATGGGATATTCCCTGAATCAACAATCTACAGCAGTGATTTTGAGCTGGGGTTCCTCTTGAATTTGCTGACCGCCAGCACAAGGGGGCAATGTTCCACTGACCACCAGCTTTTGGCCTGCTCTGAAAAAGGTATCTGAGTATATTTCCTACCTGAGTGTATTTCCTACCTTTCCTACCTTTCGCTAAAATCACAGCCAGTCCAAGCAAATCACTGGCAGCTCACTGACCGGCCATGCCTGGCACCCTTAATCTTTCTGAATATGCATATGGCTGCTGGGGCGAGATTGACAGAGAGGGCTCTGTGTGCCCCTTGGGCTAAGTCTAATGCCATTCATGTTGACTGGTATGACAGGATTCCCAAGAAAACCCATTCTGTCCAATCACATTATTGCCTTTATGTGAGTGTAATGTAATTAGTGTTAGTATTAGTGTAGGATTGTTATGTAAAGATTTCAGAATAGGAGAAATATAGGATGCTGATATCTGTGATATGTTCTTTATCAGGCAGAAGGTGAAGAAGATTGTTACTCTGACATGGTAAGAGCAGATGACATTGAAAGGCCTGGTGAAGCTAACCTTCAGGTATGTCTATTTTCTTGTAGTGTGCAGTCACTTGTGCCATTTTTATATATAGTTAATATATTTTCTTGTGTTTGTATGCTTGTTCCAATTAGCATTCTAGAGTCAACTTTGAACAGTTAAAATATTCACACATTTATTTAAGGATTTCTGGAGTACATATAATTCAGTTTTTAAAAGTACTTGTAATGACTTTTATAAATCAAGTGAACCAGTAGAGAAAGTGCTTCTACCCCTGAGAAGGAAATTTTTTACAATTTATGGGGACGCATTCATTCCTATAAAATTCTGTGTCTGGGGTTTAACAAACCTGCACAGAAAGCACTTGATAGTACTGTAGGATTAGGATTTTTTTTCTTTTTTGACTGTTCTATATAGAATATGTTGCATTGTTGAAGCAGACTTTATTTGACATATCAAATTCATTTTTCTGATGATCTGGTTATACGGGGATTGCAAAGAACTACCAGATGCTATTTTGTTTGTTTCTGAATTTGGTATTCACAATGGGTCAGATGCGACTTTGCAACTAACAACAACAACAACAAATTGGTATGGGAAAAAGTTCAAAGAAACATTTGCTTTTTATAATCAAGATAAAATTATCTAAGTGCTGCTCAGTTTAGATATACACATCAGTAATCTCTTGTAGACATATCTACTCAAGTATTGGACTTAGTTTCTGGGTTTCTAGGCAGAGCTCCAAATGTTCAGAGCACAGTGGATGTTTGAACTTACCCCAGGGGGGAGCTCTTCAGGTGTGGAAGCTCGATCCTGTAGAACATCAGCAAGAGGGCCTTCAGTAAAGGCTGCAGATACCAAAGGAAAGCTGGAACTAGCAAAAGAGGAAAAGGTAAAGAACTTGACCACATTAAACTATAACTTTATAGTGAACTAATGGAATGCTGTGTCTACTGGCAAAGCATGAGCTATTCTGCTGCTTTTTTCACGATTGTGCCATCCATTGTATCTACTGTTTTGTCTTGTGAATTAATAAATATGGAGATACTAAGCTATATGGCAAGAGTATAAAGCATGTTTAGAAGATGTTGGTTTGAATTCTTAGGGTGCCTGCTCACTGAGGTAATGTAAACAAATGTGTTCCAGGTAGATGTATCAGTTTAGTGAAATCACTAAAAATGAAAAAAAAATCCTAATCAGTTAAATATGTATTTGCAGAAAGCATATTCAGCAGTGTAAATACTGAAGAAACTGATTTACATCAAGCACCTTTTTTAGTAGAGAATTTCTAGTAAGGTAGAAAGTTTTGCATCTGAGCTAGAGGAGACTGGTAACAGTAATACCTGGCTCTCCTATGGCTTTCATCAATATTGTGGTTTTCATTCAGCATTTTAGGAACTTGTGTAAAGTTTCATTTATCAGAAATAAAGGAGAAGTTGGAAATGTTTTGCTGATTTGCTGGCCTTTGTGGCCAAGTCTTAATTACAACTTTGGCAGAAATGTTATAGCTGTAATGTATTTTTTCTTTGGCAGCTGCCTTAGACCATTTTTGACGATTTCCTGGGTGCTGGTTTTCTTGCTTAATCTGTTGCAGATATTTTCTCTTGGTGAAGAATAACAATCTACAAGGATTTACTAAGTTTCAGCAGATACTAGTCATCATAACAATGGCAAATCATGATTTTTTTTATTTTTAGAAAAGATGCTGTAACAATCCACAGTGGCTTGAGCTTTTGAGATACTTCATTTTCACATAAGAAGTCCAGATGGGTGAGATTAAGGCTGATTTCAAAACTGAGTGGACAATTTAGTTATACATCCACTGATCAAATTTGGAGTACAAGGCCTACTAAGATATAAAAGAAAACTTAAGATACCAATTTTCAAATGGAAAACAGTCACAAACAACATATTTAAAATTAGATATGGAAAACTGATTTCAATTTTGTCTGTTATGATTTAGGATGATCCTGTATTTCATAAACAAGTCATAATTTTGTTTTGTTTACTTGTAAGGGACTGTTAAACAGTTGACTAATTTTTGTGCAGGCAAGAGAACTGTTCCTGAAAGCAGTGGAACAAGAGCAAAATGGGGCTCTTTATGAAGGTAATCTGACATTTTCACGTATTAATAGTAAACCGCAACTTCCTTTACCATAGATGCTGCTTAAGAACGTGAAAATTTTGGCTGCTATGGTGAAAACTGCCATTTACATGATAATTGTTAAGAGAAAGAAAACTATATATATAGTCCTCTCAGATGTAAGTTAAATAATCCTCTTGTAGAAATGAAGACCATTCACTACAATTTCAAGAACTAGGGGAATCTGTGCCTTGGCTAGAATGTTGGTTTTGAGATGGCTTCCCTTCTTCATTGAGAACCAGTGTGATGTAGTGGTTAAGAGTGCAGGACTGAGATTCAGGTGATCTGGGTTTTACTCCCCATTCATCCATGGAGCTCACTGGGTGACTTTTGGCCAGTCACAGACTCTCAGCCCAACCTGCCTCACAGCGTTGTTGTGAGGATAAGGCAGAACATGAGGACGAGAATTATGTAAGCTGCCTTGGGAAATAACATTCAGACTTCTGTTCAGCTTAACTGTTAATTTAATTAGGTAGCATCGGACCAAATAGGACTAACCTACCTCACAGGGTTGTTGTGAGGATTAATAAATGCATTGTAAAATGCTTTGTCTGAAAGGGAATGATAATTTACTGGTATGCTCATTTAGAAGAAAATGCTGGAATAAGTGGAACTTGATATGATTTGCTGCTATCTTTACTACTAGGCTTCAGGTGTGAATTGGTGAGTATTTCATGACAGTGTATAACAACTTCTGAAATAGAGCTCCTGCCAGTGAATCATTTTTGTAGCAAGGAGCTGTTCCTTTACTTGGAAGGAATTCCAAAACAAAAGCTTCTCAGTTATAAGCACCATGCTAGCATATAAATAATTGAATGAGTTATATTTGGATACCCATCACCTGTTGGTGTCAGCTAAGTGCTGTTAATAGTGAAGAGGCTATTTGGTTTCAAAGCTAAGCAAGCTTTCTCAAGCAGGCACATACTTGAGTGTCTTATTCAGTTGGCACAACTTAATATGTACTCCTCTAAAAAATACTACTTAGTATGTGAAAAGACTATTGGGCTGAAAAGTCTTTAATACTTTCTAGCCATATGACTATCCTGAAATTGGGTGGGAAACATTTTTTTTCCTTGATAGCTGCATTAGCATATTGGGAGCATGTGAATATATGGGGGTCCAATCCTATTATCTCATACCTCATTCTTGTACATATCATTCAAGTACATGCCTCTCTGTGCATTCAGTAAGGGACTAGTTTTTTTCCTGTTCAAAGATAGTAAAGTAGAATGATCCAGCCACAGAGAGAAATGATTGGTAGGGTTTGCACATCCTACTAAGCCACCCTTTGACAAAGGCACAGTGAGTCAGTTTTTCATTAAATTCCTTCCCCCTCATTCCTCCAGGTGGCTTGACCTGTCTTCCAGGTGCCTTTGTGGCTGAACCTGTCTTGTTTCCTTGCCCCTGCCCATTTCTCACTATCTTTAAGTCGCCACCTTAAAAAATGGGTGCTTCAGGAATACTTTAGTGCATTCATAGTTTTCTGTTACTATTTTCTCCTGGTCTTTTACACAGGTGCACATTTGCCTATCTGGTATTTATTTATTTTATTTATTAAAACATTTTTATGCCGCCCCATTCGCCGAAGCCTCGGGGCGGCTTACAATAAATAAAAGCAATTATAAAATAAATTGCAACACACATAAACATTAAAAATCCAAAAAATACAATATAAAATAAGCCGCCCTGGCCAGATAAGATCAAATAATATTAACAGTTATACTGCTTAAATAAAAAGGTCTTCGCCTGGCGCCGAAAAGCAAATAACGACGGCGCCAGGCGGACCTCTCTAGGGAGCGCATTCCATAACTTAGGCGCCACCGCTGAGAAAGCCCTTCTCCGGGAGCCCCCTGTGAGAGAAATTAGGAGGGTGGCTACTCGGAGGAGGGC